AAAACCCTTACCCCTAAGGAGTGGACAGTTTCAGGAACAACACAAAGAAGGAACCAGAGAATGAAGCCCAGGGTGAGAATGCAGGGAAGGAGACCAGGCTGGACTAGCTCAGGGTCATGGAACACTAGACAGTGTCTAGAAGGAACAGCTGACAGAATGAAACTTTGACAACCAATCAGCAGAGAACTACAAGAAAAATTTTACATTTAAAAAATTGTGTGTGTGTGTGTGTGTGTGTGTTTGTGTGTGTGTGTGTGTGTGTGTGTGTATGCCACAGCATGTGTGTGGAGGTCAGAGGACAGCTTGCAGGAGTCCTATCTCTCCTTCCACCTTTATGTGGGTTCTGGGTTCTATGAATTGAACTCAGGTCATCCAGTTTGTGTGGCAAGTGCTTTTTTTTCGGTCTTTTTGAGACAGGGTCTCCCTGTAGCCCCAGCTGCCCTGGAACTCACTATGTAGACCAGGCTGGCCTTGAACTCACAGAGATCTGCCTGCAAGTGTTTTTACCCACCGAGCCATCTGTCTAGCCCTTGATCAAGTTTGTTTTTTTTCAAATTACATTTATTTATTGGGGGGGGGGGCATTAGTGTGCTACAGTGAGCATGTCAAGGTCAGAGGACAACTTGTGGGAGCTGGTTCCTTCCTTCTACCCTGTGTGACCTGGGGATCAAACTCAGGTCATCAGGCTTGGTGTCAAGTGCCTTCACTCTTGCTGGTCCCTCAAGCAGAAAATTAACATGGGCAGCAGGGGAGAGGGGAAAGGGCTGGAAAAGGTGTAGTTGATTGTTGCAGAGTGCAGGTTTGTGCGGGGTGTGTGTGTGTGTGTGTGTGTGTGTGTGTGCAACTTTTCAGGAAAGTGAAGCAAGTCTCTGCATGACTGGAAACCCTATTGTTAAGGCAGGAGGAGCCTGGAGACAAAGGCACAGGTCACAAGGGCACAGGTCACCTGGCAAAGAGCCAGTCTCCTTTGTGAAAGAGTCTGAACTTTATTTCCCCAGGGTAGTGGGGAGCCATTGAAGGGTTGTGTGCAAGCAAGTGATCAGATCAGACGCATTTTAGAGCACTCACTCACTCTGGCTGCAAAGTGGAGAATGAAGGAGGAAGAGCTCAGGCTGAGAGGCCAGGGAGGCTTTTGTGATCCAGGGAACTGGGGAATTGCCTGCAGAGATGGAAGAAGTAGGCGGGACTGAAAAGGCTAAGTAAGGGGATGGACTGTCCCAACCCAGTGTGTGGCCTGGAGATGCCAAGGATGCTTCCCAGTTCCCAGGCTTGAGCTGCTGGTGAGACAGGGAAGCCTCCAGGTGAAGTGGGTTTCAAATCTGCTGTTATAAGGTGTCTGTGGGTTACCAGGTGGGTAAGGCTGGAGTTGGAAAGAAAGGCCTGGCTTAAGGCAGACTGGGAATATTCTTCAGCAGATGGCAGTGGAGCTGGGAAAGAGTGAACCATTGCCAGGCAGTAGTGTGAAGGGTAGTGTGAAGACAAGAGGAAGTGAATGAATCCAAGGAAAGCCAACATTCCAAAGATGGCTAGGAAAGAGCCATCTGTGTCAGAAGGAGCAGCCTCAGAGGGAGGGGGAAACCAAGAGTAGTGGTCTTCTGGGGGTGACCTTCCTCTCCCTCCAAAAGCACTTTAACTTCCCTTTGGGAAGGTCACTCTTCCCTCTCCTGTCTCTACGGTTTGGCTCCCAGGGCAGAGATGCTACCTGGTTCTGTCCACCCCCCGCACCCCACTGCCTCCATACCCCTATCCTTTACCTACCTACTACCCCCCGACCCCAACCCCTGGTCAATCTCACACAGTCCTCCCACTTGCTATCTGCTTTCCAGGAGTGTTAATTTACATGGGCGTTCTCAAATATACACACCATACCCTCTCTGGACTCAGGATCTTTGTCTGGGCAGTCTGCCTTCCTCATCTGTCTTCTCTACTATCCCTTTGCCTCCCAACTTTACACTTAGTCTTCCAGCCTTCACCCCAGACAAACCTTCCAGACAAAGTTATGGTACCCATTTATTCTTCCAGGAAATATGTACTGAGCACCTTCTGTCCTGTGTCATCATTGTGTTGGATGCCAGGACTTCATGGGAAGCAAAAATGACAGGTCCATGTCCCCAGGGAGCTGACAAACTAAATACAGACTCATTATAAACCAATGATTATATGAAAACAATTACAGCCAGGTGTGGTGGCGCACGCCTTTAATCCCAGCACTCAGGAGGCAGAGGCAGGTGGATCTCTGTGAGATCAAGGCCAGCCTGGCCTACATAGCAAGTTCCAGGGCCAGCTGGAGCTACAGGGAGACCCTGTCTCAACACAACACAACACACACACACACACACACACACACACACACACGAGGAAACAAAGCAATTTGATATGACTGATTATGAGGCTAAGTGTTTGCCATTGTTGGTACATGCTTCTGTATAATGACCAAATAGTTTTTATTTTGTTTTGTATTTTGAGACAGGGTCCCATGTATTGCAGGTTGACCTCAAACTCAGTGTGTGGCTAAGTGTGACTTTGAACTGCTGATCTTCTGTCTCCACCTTCTGAATGCTGGGATTATAGGCATGCACCACCAGTCCTGGCCCATTCAAAGTTTTTAAAAATTAATTCATTAAATTAATTAATTAAAATTAATTATATATATTTTATGAGTGTTTTGCTTGTATATGTTTACTATGTGTGTGCAATGCTTACAGAGGCCAGAAGAAATCATCAGATTCCCTGGAACTGGAGTAACAGACGGCTGTTAGCACCATGTGGGTGCTGGGAACCGAACCCAGGTCCTTTTCACCACTGAACTATCTCTCCAGGCCCCGCTTCAAAAGTTTTAATTAGGGTTACGATGTAATTTTACTTTAGTGTTTGTAAGACTGCTCTGGTTGCTAAGTAAAGAATGTAATAAGGGACATGCAAAAGATTAGGAAGACTACCAGGTCTGATAGTGCCTGCCTTTGATCCCAGCACTCAGGAGGCAGAGGCAAGTGTATCTTTATGAGTTTGAGGACAGTCTGGTTTACATAGTGAGATCCTATCTCAAAAACAAAAATAAAACCACACACAAAAAAGGCAGGCTCAGTAGTTAAGAGTACTGGCCGCTCTTGCAAAGGGTTCTGTTCCTAGCACCCATATGGCAGCTAAGAACTGTCAGTAACTAGTTCCGGAGGATCTGATGCCCTCTTCTGGCCTCTTCAGGCAATGCACCCACATGATACACCTACATGCAAGCAAAACACTCACACATATAAAAACAAATAAGTAAAATAATACAATTTAAAAGACCAATTAGGACCTTCTTCTAGACCCAAGCATAAGAGGATGTTAGAACTTGAATGAAGACAGGGAAGATGAAGAAAGTACGTGGATTCAAGAGCTATCTGGAAACTGGAATTTATGGACGTTTCTGAAGGATTTGATGTAAGGTACCAGGAGAATAGATGATAAGAAATGATGCCTAATTTCTACCCTGAATGAGCAGGGAAAGTCAGATGGGCTTGGCTTGGCCTGCCCCATCCCCACTGATCCTCCCTTTCTTTGGAGCCCCTGGGTTAATCTTCTGAAGCCCAGAACTTGAGAAACGGGCATCATTGGAAAGCCACTGGGTTGCAGGATCTCTAAGGTCCCTTCCAGTTATAACATACTTTTATTCTGAACTGAAAAGTCTGTGAATGGGAACAATCTCTGTTTCCTTTCTTTATTTTTTATTTTATTTATTTATTTATTTTTGAGACAGGGTCTCTCTGTAGCCCCAGTTGGTCTGGTACTCGCTATGTAGACCAGGCTGGCCTTGAACTCACAGAGATCTGCCTGTCTCTGCCTCCTGAGTGCTGGGACTAAAGGCGTGTGCCACCATGTCGAGCTGTTTCTTTTTTTAAAATTTATTTTTATTTTATGTGTATGAATGTTATGCCTGCATGTATGTAAGTGCACCCATGTTTTGCAATACCCATGGAAGACAGAAGAGGGCATCGGATCCCTGGAACTGGAGTTACAAAGGGTTGGTTGGTAACTACCATGTAGGTGCTGGGAATCGAACCTGCGTCTTCTGCAAGAACAGCCAGTGCTCTTAACCACTCAGCCATCTCTCTAGCTCCTGATTTATTTTAACTTGTTCTGTAGTACCTGGTAGAGCTCTGTACTGGAAAGCATTCAGTAAGTGCTAGTTGACTTTTCCCTTTGGCACAGAGTTTCCATAATTGAATTTTAGATTAAATTTTTCTTAAAAAAAATTAAATTCTAAAGTAAACTTTCATTTGAAATCAATTCCCTTTGATAAAGTAGAGCCATGGCAAGGGTAATCTAAAACTGTAAAATCCAAAGTAATTTCTGTGTTGAGCGGAGGTAGAATTTTTTTTGTTGCCTGTTTTTTGCTAAACTAATTATCTGCATCCGCATTTAGGTAAATGTTAGTTTTGGGCAAATGCCAACAGGTGGTAAATCAATCCTATTCACAACAGAAAAGAAAGAACACTGAAAACGATTCATGACAATGTACACAGAGTGGACACAGTTCACTCTTGGTAATAGATTCTTTGTTTAAAACAAATATTAAGATTCTAAAATTTATTTTGAAGTGATGATTTTAGATAAACTTTAGAAAACTTATTTACTTATTTATTCATTTATTTATGTGAGAGAGGTTCTCACTCTGTAGCCCAGGATGGTCTGGAACTCATGTGTCCTAAGTCTCTACATCTGGTTCTAGACCCATTTTGAAAAAGAATGAGATGGAAATAAGACTTGTGTTGCCAGTCCATGACAAAATTTAGGGTTCCAATCTGCCGTTCTCCTGCTCCTTGCTCTGTCTTTGCTTTTAGCTCCATCCTTCAGCTATCACGTTTCCCAGCCATTTTCTCAGGTTAAAAATTCAGAACTTCAATATCTTTAAGCTTATTGAAATCAAATAGTCAGGTAAGTACATCATACCAAGCCTTTTGTTTTATTAAAGAGGGAAGTAAAATGACAAAATACCTTTTATATGCCAAGCACTTCTGAACAAATAAATCTTTCAATGCTCTCTATTATCCATGTGATTTCATCAAGGAGATGGGGAGACCAGTGGTCCGGTGTCTGACCTGCTTCCTGTTTGGGATGGTTCCCTCGCTATAGAGAGCATCTGTGACCAGGAATGCTGCAAATCACACTGTGTACACCACAGCAATGAAAACTTGGTTGTGTCTCAGGTGTGACCTAAGATTGGTCTACTGGGTGCTGCTGCCTCTTGGAATTTGCAGTATAAGACACAAAGATGGAGGGAAGGTTAGACATCCTTTGTGGCAGTGGTGATGTGCCTAATGGTGGCTCTTAGTGGTACAGTGTCCAGAGGTTAGACCTTCTCACCAGATGGTCTGGGGGTTGTTGTTCTTTTAACAGCCCTTGGTTTCCACTTGAATTTCCAAGTCAGGCTCTTTGGCTTCTGTCAGTTCTGAGAGTCATCAACACAGTATTTTTTTCAGCAAATTCCAGTTCTGGAATAGTTAGAGCCAGAGTTGGCACAGTTCTTGCAACAAGGTACTCTGGTTGAAATGTAAGGGAACTGGCTCCAAGGTTGAAAAGCTTGTTCAAGAGGCACAGCTGGCAAGAGACAGTGTTCTGGCTGAGGCGGCTGTGCTGTTTCCTTGATTCCATGCTGCCTGGAGAATTCTAAAAAAGGGCACAGAAGCAGAGTGAACATGGGACACAGATGAGAGTGGGGAGTAAAGAACACTTAGCCCCCAAATTGATGTTCAATGACACATGCATAAATAAGTGACCTTACTCATGCCAGAGGCTGAGCTGTGTTCAAATATTATTTCAGCTCACCCGCACAATGATATGATAAGGTGGAAAAACCGAGTCCTGGGGAGATTTATCCATGTTTATATTATAGTAAGTCTTCCTGCTGGGTTTGAACTTGAATCCACAGACAAGAAGGCTGCTCATTCATGAAACTACAGCTTCCCTATGAAATTTAATCAATCAGTAAAAATGTTTCTCCTGTCAATTTCCTATTAACCTCATCATGGCCCCAGAACAACATTGTTAATGTATTTTTTTTCTTTCTTGTTTGTGATTTTACAGTGTCCTCAGATGTGTCATCTCTTTCTTTTCTTTAGGTGAGACATCTCTAGTATACAGGAATATATCCCTATAGGCCTTCCTCTGTATATCTATCTCCAGTGTCCACAAAGGAACTACCATTACAGCCAATGGGCCAGGGGACCAATTCAAAGCTGGCCATGGACTGATTAACTTAAAGAACAGACAGGAGACTTATCTCCCTAAAGTTCTTCCAACTAAAATAGTTCATGGTTAGTTTCTGTCAGTCTTACATGCCCCTACCTCCCTATAGTTTCAAGAAAAATTATACTCTTGCTTATTGGACTGTAAAATGGGGCCCAAGATCCTCGTTGGCAGAATAAATAAATACCAGACATCTCAGGGTCTTTGGGGACAGATCCTTTGCCCAGACCTGGCTTGTGACAATCAATGAACATTTTGTCGTTTGTGTTTTGGATTAAGAAGATGAGTTCTGCATGCTTCCTACCATCACAAGGAACAGTGAATTGAATTGGTGCCATTGTAAGCTTGATTGTTGTTGCATAGATAAAAGCCTCATTAAGTCCCTCATGAGGGGAGAAAAATTTTATTTTGAGGAAAGAGGAGCGAGGAGGGTTTCTAGCTTGTTGTGGTTATAACAACAAAACATTAAATGGAGGAAATAATTAAATAACTGAACTTTTTTTTTTATACAAACCTCGTCAAGAGGCTGGGTGAGTTTTTAATTAGTGCTGCATTTTCAATAAATCCGTATCTGTACGTGGTACCGATTCTTTCCTGGATAAGGGAAAGATAATAATGAGAATCTTATTTTTCAGTCCCACACTAAAGGGATGTCTGGTATATTTAATCATGCTGTAGAAATCCTGGCAGCTTTCTCTGAGCCCGGCCTCTGCTCTAATTACATTTCTAGATTTTAGTAAATTGAAAGGGAAAATGTAGGAACAAAATAATTAAAACCGAAGAGGAAGTGCATATTAAAAAGGAGAAGCTGTTTAAAATTCTTGCACATAGTGTTTCCAAGGACATCTACAATCGTTTAATCAGCTCCAGACCAAATCAAAGCCCTTTGTGCAAAGGCTGGTAGGATCATCTCTCAGGTGGGCGGTATGGTCCTCACAGTAAAATGGGAGCCTCATTGCACTGAGGTACAGATGGCGATAGGACCTCTTGTGGCCTTCCAGATCACTGGGGATTCAGGCCCAGCCTGGACAAGCTGCTGGCACAGATTCCTCACCCTGCAGAGTCCTCTCCCATATCCTGGGCAGAGTCTGGCTAAACTATAAGGATTAGCCTCAATTTTGAGGAAGCTGAAGCAGATGTCCATGCCTCTAAGCACCTCCTTCTGCATCCTTCTTCCCCATGTCTGTGCTCCTTTCTCCAAGGACCTTTTCTTTTTCTGCTTTCCAGTGAAATCCAAAGTCAAGGGAATAAATAACTAAATAGCCTCAGTGTCACCAAGAGTTAGCTGCTTGTAACTGGTTACTGGGTTACCACTGGGGCATTCTGAATTTCCACAGGAACTAAACAAACACTTTTCTGGCTTAAGCTAAAGGAATGAGTGTTTGGTGATAAAGATGATAAATGAATTCTAATAAGAAAGTTTCAAGCATCTGCCTAATAGGTGACAAGAACTCTGCTTGTTTTAAAGTAGAGGAAAACACAGAAACCACATCATTAGAGAATTTGGGATCTCCAATTAAAAAAAAGTCCTTTTAGCTGGGCATAGTGTGGCATACCTACAATCTCAGCACTCAGCAGGTGGAGGCAGAAGGATCAGGAGTTCAAAGTCAGCCTTTGCTACATACTGAGCTTGAAGTCAAACTGGGCTAGAGGAGAACCTGTCTCAAAAAAAACAAACAAACAAAAAACCAAAAAAACAAAACAAAAATAAAAGCAGAAAGCAAACAACAGCCTGGAATGTGGGTTGTGTAAGGTCTGAGTTTGAAGTGTTTTGTCAATGATTCCTAGAACATGTGGGGGGGTATTTTTGAGACAGGGTCTCCCTGTAGCTCCAGTTGGCCAGGAACTATGTAGACCAGGCTGGCCTTGACCTCATAGAGATCCCTCTCCCAAGTGCTGGGATTAAAGACCCACCACCAGGCCCTGATCCTAGGACATTTTAAGCTGGGATTATAGGATCTGCTTCTGTAGTTGAAAGTAGACAGCAGCTTGGCACTGTCAGGGTTTTGTTTTTCTTGTTTTTTCCCAACCCCCTGTGGCTTGGCTCATGGTCTGCCAGCCTTCCCTGCTGAACAGGCTCACCTGCCTCCTGGTGCCAAGAAGCATGCGGCAAAAGACAGGAGCACTATCTCCAGGAGACTGTCCCACAGGCCTGGGAACCAGCAGGGCTTCCAGAAGCTGTTCCTAAGACAGGGTGCAGACTTGTCACCTAATGACCCAGAGGTTCACTGGGTTGTTCTCTTGTATCCAATGCTGTGTACATTTGTGTTTCTATCTCAATATACAAAAGAGACAATGCCTGCTAGCTTTGGGGCTGGATTCATTAAGAGTATTTTTTTGTTGTTGTTGTTGTTTTAAGTTTAAGCTAAGGACAAGAAACATATAACAAATAGCCCACCACAAGGATGACTGTTTTCTCCCAGGGCCAGGTCCCTCTGTGACAACTCCGGAATCAGTTACAGCCCTCGGGACTCATGTGTCCAAGCCAACAGTTGTCACAGAGTCAGCTTCCTTTCCGTTGGGTCACCTATACACCCAGCTATACCCAGAAAGAACAGTACTTTTTTTTGTTTAAAAATGCATTTTTTTTTTTTTTTTTTTTTTTTTTTTTGAGACAGGGTCTCCCTGTAACCCCAGCTGTCCTGGAACTCACTATGAAGACCAGGCTGGACTTGAACTCACAGAGATCTGCCTGCCTCTGCCTCCCTAGTGCTGGAACTACAGGTGTGCACCACCATGCCCGGCTGCATTTTTTGTTTTTTTTTTGAGACAAGGTCTTGGTGTGTAATTTTGGCTGACCTGAAACTCCGTAGACCAGACTGGCCTTGAACTCAGAGGTCTTTCTTCTGCCTTAGCCTTCCAAGTGTTGGGATTAAAGGTGTGGTGGGCCTAAGTAAAGTACCTTTCAAGTTTAGCATTTGGAAGCTGGGCGTGCCCCGAGTGATGGCCCAGGGTTTTAATCACAGCACTCGGGAAGCAGAGGCAGGAGAATCTGAATTCGAGGTCAACCTGGTCTACTTGGAGAATCCAGGCCAGAAAGGGGTACCCAGTGAGACCCTGCCTCAACAAAACAAACAACCCTTTCCCAAAAAGGTACTTTAAAGTCTCTACAAATCATTACAAAGTCCAGAAAACATTTTTCTAACAGAGCTGTTTTTCAAAAAAAGAAAAAGAACGGAAAGTCGTCGGAAATCCATAAACGGCTTACACAGCTAAGCTTCACTTGTGACACGCCTGTTGCGTCCCTATCCACCCGGCCCCTCCATCTCACTTGCCTCCATTCTGGCCTCGCACTTCGACATCCACGCTTTGCCCTCTCCTGCCCCCCGCCCCCCCGCCGAGTTCCCGCCTCTTTTTACTCGGGCTCCTCCTTCCGCTCAAATCCCCGGGGCAGCGCCGCCTCGCGATGCTTGTGCACTAGGGGAGGTAGGCGGAGCTGGAGAGTCCGGGGCGGGGAGACCGGGCGGGGAGGGGAGAGGTGGGAAGCCGGGGGAGGGCACGCGGGGTGGGGTCGGGCGGGTACACGCTCGCTGCGTCGACGTGCTGACGACAGAATGCCCGGGCCGGTGTGTGTGTCGGCGTGTATGTATGTGTGTGTATGTGTGTGTGTATATGTGTGTTTGTGAGTGTGCGCGCTCCGGGAGTGTGTATTTGTGTATCGGCGGTCCCTCAGGTCCCGGATGTTCCGGACAGTATGAGGCGAGCGCGGGGGGCCGGGGACCAGCAGCTGTCGCCGCCGCTCTCAGGTGAGTTGAGGGGGGGGAGTCGAGGAATGGGTTGTCCTGTCTGGGTTGGGGGTCTCCCTTGAGAGGTGACTGACAAACCCCCCCCCCCCCCCGCTTCCCCTCGTGTTTTACCCTCTGCTTCATTTTCTACACCCGGGTTTCGTGGCCCAAGGAAGCACAAGCTTAGTCAGGCGTCCCTTCTCCCTAACCCTAGCATTCTGGAGACAAACAGGCCCCCTGCCTCCAGCCTTCCCCACCATCATTTCCCAGCCCCATCCCCCTTGCCAAATAGTGAGCTGTCGCCTGCGGCGAGATGGACGACTGCGCATGCGCGAAAGTAAAGGGGCTCCGGGTGCCTGGTCGCTGCTTCAGCGCGCATGCGCATTCCGCTGTTGCAGGGACCTGCGGAATAAAGAGCCTCTTGACCACGCGCCCGCCTTCTTCCCTGGCAGTGCTAGACTTGCCACCCAATAGTGAGCTAGTCTCTCAGATCTGAGAGGGAGAATTTAAATTATGCGAGGGACGTGAGGACAAAGCAGTGTTCGCATCTGGTGTTGCCCTAGAGACTCCCAGGCTACCAACGCCTCTCTGAGCCAACGTGTTCCACACTGACCCTTTTGAAACTGACTGCAACTTTTAGTTCTAGGATTACTTCCCTTTCCACTGCTCCCATCGTGCTGCACCTTTGGTACAAACTTCCCCTAAATTTAGGAATAGCTGCCCCATCTCATTCATTCTGGCAGGGGATTTTGATAGTCTTGCTAAGGAGGACCAAGGGTTATAAAAAAAGAAACTAAGGTGGGAATTCCTGTTTAGTAAAATTCTTAAGTTACCTTCTCAGAACTAGATAAGGAAGGAATACGGGGCACATACAGTTTAAGGTTTGGGGTTAAAATGGACATCAAGACATCAGGAGCCTCATCTACCAACCCTCCTATTTTGTGTGACCTATGTGTGGGGGGAGGGTTCTGTAGTGTTTTCAGTTTAGCTGTGGATGATGGTTCTTGACCACAGGTAAAACAAAGGCAATCTAAAACAATTGAATAACTTGTCCAGTAGAGGTATTAATTTCAAATAACAAGAATGATAATTCCTTGATATTTGCAAGTTCCGGAAACAAATTTAAAATGACAAACTTTACAGAAACATTCCAGTGGACAGGACATCTGGTTTCAGTTGACAGACTAGACTAGGTCCTTTAATTTGATACTGTGTTGTCACTCGTAGAAACTGCTGTATCTTACCTCTTATCATTAGAAAGGAAAGATAAACTTTTTTTTCATTTTATTGTTATCTATTTAGCGTCTATATGTGGTCCTGAGACCCGAACTCAGGGCCTTCCATATGCTAGGCATAGTGTTGTACGTTGAGCTACATCCCAGCCCCTCAAAAGATAAATTCTTACTAGCAATAAACTCTTAACTGGCAAAAGGTTTGAATTGGGTTGAAATGAACAGCTAAATTGCTGTGAGGTAGAGGGAATGGAGAAGGGGGGGTATTTTCTGTTTTTTTCATTACCTGGCCAACCTTGTGTCTGAGCTGGACAACCTTTTTGTTGTTTTTTTTTTTTGTCCTTTTGAGACAGGGTCTCCCTGTAGCCCCAGCTGGCCTGGAACTTGCTATGTAGACCAGGCTGGCTTAGATCTCATAGAGATCCACCTCTCTCTGCCTTTGGGTACTGGGATTAAAGGTGTGTGCCACCACACCCAGTTTATATTTTAAAGTTTAAATTTAAAGCCTTTATATTTTTAGAACTTTATTTAAAATTCTTTTTCCTTTGTGTCTTTCCTTGATATTCTTGGAAGACTTACTTTGGCTGCCTTTTTTAACTCTAGGACCTAGGGTCCTTGGGCCTCTCTCTCTCTCTCTCTCTCTCTCTCTCTATATATATATATGTGTGTGTGTGTGTGTGTGTGTGTGTGTGCGCGCGCGCACGCGTGTGTGCGCGCGTGTGTACTTTTCACTTCCTTGTTTAACCCTGGACTTTATGTGGTTCCGCTTTCTAGTGTACTGTTACTTGTTGCGATGTTGCTCTTGGAGCCAAGAGATGACAGAGGCAGCACAGGAATTTGGGGTGCATATATCATCCTGTGTTGGGAAAAAGCTGGAGACTAATAATTTTTCCTGAGTAGTATAAGTTATTGTTATAATCCTACACTTTGGATCAGGGCAATTGGTGTCCTTTTGGTGCTTTGGTAACTACTTTTAAAACAGTTATTATAGTGGCTACTTTGGTAGTTGGAAATAATGTTGCCTGTCTCACTCTTGGATAAGGCCCTGGTAAAATTTGGAAGTGACACTACTGAGGTAAGGAATGTCTTCTCTGTAGGCTTTCTTTATCTAGCTAGGATGCTTTGTTCTTATCTGAAAACATTTCATCTCTGAATTCACTGAAGACTCATTTAAATTTTGGATGGCACAAAAGCATGAAATGCTTTTAGGATTAAGATAAATGTTAATTAATTCATATTGGTGCAGAAACTTGTTTAACAAATAGAAGGTAATGCAAATATGAAACACAATTCAAAAGGTACACAGTGAGAATGAAAAAAATCTGTCCTTCTCCTTCCCTCCATCCAGTAACCCTCCCCAAGGCAACATCCTGTTCTTCCTGAAAGTCTCTACGTTTACCAGCACATTAATCTACATATTCTTTGGGGTGTGATTTACACAAATGGTAAGACACTGTACCCATTTTTAACTCTTTCACTTAATTTATCTTGGTGATCATTCCATATTGAACAGTGGCAAGGATTGAATTGTGTATGATACACCATCATTCAGTCATTTCTTCCTGAACATTCAGGTTTCTGGTACCACAGTTCATTCTTTATGTGTACTTGGGTATCTGTTGGATTAAATTCTTAGTGAATGTACTTGATCAATGGAATATGTATTTAAAAATTTTTTTAAAATTTATTTTTATTTTATGTGTATGTATGTATTGCCTGCATGTAGGTCAGTGCACCTATGTCATGCAATGCCCGCAGAAGTCAGAAGAGGCTGTCGGATCCCCTGGGACTGGAGTTATGGACAGTTGTTAGCTGCCATGTGGGTTTCGGGATCCGAACCCGGGTCTTCTGCAAGAACAACCAGTGTTCCCAACCGCTGAGCCATCTCTCCAGCCCCAGGAATATGTATTTTTAATGTCGGAGATGTTGTGGAATTTTTGTGAATTTTTATTCTTGCCACCAGTTCAAGTCTGCATTTCCTTACCAACATTGGTGTATTTTTTAATCTTTTCTGTAGTCTTTTCTCTGAGATTTTAAGTTCATTATATAGCTTCTCAAGTTTCATTACATTGAGGGGTTGTGGGCAAATTCTGTCACTGCTATGCACCTCAAGGGGTATTGACCAAAGAAGGGTGCTAGAGAATATAGTCATATGCCTGGATAACACAGCAACCTGGCAGTGCTAGGAAGGCATGTAAGACATGTATTCCAGTTTCTTTCTTTTCACTCTGAGATTCTGGTTTCTCTGTGTGAAACTCTAAAAGCTTATTTACAAGTGTTGTTTTCTGATATTCTTTGGGTAGCTGTAAATTGAGATTGCCTATGGAAGTGAACTGCTGTTTTGTTGAGTTGAAAAGATAACTCAGTTAAGGTACTTTTCCAAGTGTCTACTACCTCTGCCAGAATTTCGATATTAGTACTTTTAAGAGTCTTGTTTGCAGAATAGGAAAGAAGGAAAAGATGTCTATACCTAAGAGAGCTTGCAGTCTTTCTAGAAAACCAAATCTACTGAATATATGAAATAAGAGAAGGGTTAGAAAATAGAATGTAAATGGTGATATGCTGGTGTTCCATGTTGAGAAGATGTGCAAAGTAGTGACCAGTTGAGAAGACTTTGGAGGAAGTTGTGTCAGACTTCCTGTTTTTCTCCAGTTGTTTAAATGAAAAATTTTAAGCATACAGAAAAACTGAAAGGATGTACAGTTATGACCTTATGCCCATCACATCAGTTGTTCCCATTTCTGCTTTAAAGGTAGATGCTGGTTAAACATTTTTAGGAGAATAGTGCCATGCCATAGCCCTCTGTTAATGATGTGGGGTTTGATCATACATTTTAGGTGATAAATGCTAGATCACTGAAATTTTTTCCTTTTGTAATTATCAGGTAATCTGTAGAGTGGCACCACTTTGAAGCTATTACATTTCTTCAGAAACTTTCTACTTAATGATGATGATCCTTAACTTAGTTATATGGTTGTTGAAAATGATGATTCAAATTCTGCCATGCTGTTTCTTTTGACTAGTTTTTATTTTTTTTTTTTAAGTTTTTCGTTAGAAATAAATTATAATTTCTGTTAAAAAGTTGAGATTGAACTTGGAGAGATAGCTCAGCAGTTAAGAGCACTGGCTGCTGTTGTAGAGGACACAGGTTTGGTTGGTTCCCAGCACCCACATGGTGGCTAACAACTACCAGTAACTCCAGTTTCAGGAGATCCAATGCCTCTTCTGGCAGGCAAAAACATATAAAAGAGAAATAAATAATAAAAAAAATAACCAGGCATGGTGGCACATGTCTTTAACTCACAGCACTCGGGAAGCAGAGACAGGCAGATCTTTGTGAGTTGGAAGCCCACCTTGTCTACATATCGAGTTCCAGGCCATCTGGGGCTACAGGGAAACCCTGTACACCCCCCTCCCCAAATAAAAATAAAAAGTTGAGATGAATCCTTCTTTTAATACTTCTGAATAGGAGGTGGTTTAATTAACAGGTAGTTAGACAGTCCTGGGGATTAAAGTCCTGTAACATGTGAGGCAAGTACTCTACCTTGGGTTATATTCCTAGTTTTTAATAGTCTTTAATAGTGGCAAATGAATAGTTCTTTTTCTTTCTGTTAGTACCATCA